GTCTCGTCTAGCCTGGCCATCCTCTTCACAGGTCCCTGTTGGCCAGCTGGTAGAAGAGGAACGTCCCAGCATGGCAAGGAAGGGAGAGGAAGGGCAAGTTTGGCACACTTGGTTAGGGTGGTTTATAGTTACTGTTTTATCCCTTCCAACTCAGGCGATTTCTGGAGACATACTACTGTAAGACTAAACATTTAAATATCCTGCTCCTCCCTCCCTTCTCCCCCAGTTATTTTATATATCTATTTATATTTGCTATGGACTGATGGATTCCCATTTTTTTCGGTGGTTTAGAATTCCTTATTTTCCTTTTGTGTTTTGTTTTTGGTTCTCAAATAGTTCCAGATTTGGCCAGTGGGAGCCTCTTGAAGCTGCATTCTGTGTCCTGACATTTTTGTTGAACACTTTTGTAATTTCCGACTTAATAAAATGTTCCAGGCTCTTCTCGTCATACCCCTGGTGCCCAGCCCTGGAATCAGTTTCTGAGGAGCCTTGGTCCCTGGCTCTAGCTGTGCTCATTACTACCAGGGTGTCTTTGCCTCTCATCCTAAGAATAAGAGCTTGTCTTACTCTTTTAAAATTGCCCCCCCCCTTTTTTTTTAAACAAAAGTAACAGTGCTTTAAAAAATGTAAACCATAACAGACATCTGTAAAGAAAAAAGTACCCACAGGTAGACAAGTGTAGGATGGTGTGTATCCTTCCAGACTTTACATACATAAAACCAGATTTGGTGGTGGGGTTTAGTTTTGCTTTTGGCTAGTATATGAATTCTGTTCTACAAGGTCTTTTTTTCTTCATCACAACATAGTATGTGCTCTGTATCAGAATGTAGAATTCTGACATTTTTGTTAGCTGCATAGTATCATGCTTAACTAGCGTACAGTGGGTGGACGTTCAGATTGAATCCAGCCTTGCTGCAGTGAACACTCCCATACACATACTGTGAGGCATTTCTTTTTTTTTTTAATCTTTTTATTGAGGTGAAATTCACATAGCATAAAATTAACGATTTTAAAGTGCACAGTTCAGTGGCATTTATTAGCACATTCACAGTGTTGTGCAACCACCTCCTCTCTCTGGTTCCAAAGCATATTCATCGCCCATGTTGTGCATTTTTATATGGACTCAAGGAGTCTTAGTAGTGGATTTACTCTGGACCAAAAGTCACATTAAAGGTTTTTCATAGCTACATCCACTTGCCCTTTCTAGGTTATTCCAGTTTATATTCCCACTAGCAATTGAAAATGTGCATTTCCCTATACCCTTGTTGACACTTTGGGTATTATCAGCCTTTATTTTTCTTCCAATCTGATAGACAAGAATATGTATTTTTTGACTAGTAGCTAGGCCCAGAATGTTTTCAAAGATGTTTCAGTCATTTGTTTCTGTTGGATTTCCAGTTTCAGTCATCTGCCTAGTTTGATAGGTTGTTGGCGGTGGGCTTCTTTTCCCTTACAGGGCTAAGTTTACTTAGGAAATTTTTCTATGAAATTCAGTGCCTGTTGCTAGTGTGTGTGTGTGTGTGTGCGCGTGCGCTAATCTTCCTGATATATTTCCTAAATTTGTATCTTCTGGGTGGCTCTTTATTGCAGTGTCTCTGAGGTCTCCTAAGGGTGTCCGTGACCTTGTAGAAACACCCTAGGTTTACCTACTGAATACTTCCCTGGACAGTGCTGAGTGCATTGGTAGTGGTGAGGAAATGGCCTCACACACAGGTCCTTCTCTCCTGAGTCCTTCTCTCCTTCTCTCCTCACTGACAGGAAAGTAGATATGGAAATTCTAGTAATAAGATAGAAAAGAAATGTGTGTACCTTTGCATCCCTAGCACCTGACACATAGTGGACACTGAATGTCTGACATAAGTCACTATGGTGCCATAAGAATATGGTTTTCTTTTTTTTCTTTTTTTAAGCTGAAGAGCCCATTAGCCAGAAAGCTTCTCATCCCTGGCTGCATAGTAGAATCACCAGGAGGATGTTTAAAATATTTATGCTCAAACTCAACTGGCAGAGAATTGGTTTCAGTCTGTCCAAAGTGGGACCAAAGCATGAGCATTTTATTTTTTTTAAAGATTTTATTTATTTATTTGAGAGAGAGAGAATGAGAGACAGCACGAGAGGGAAGAGGGCAGAGGGGGAAGCAGACCCCCCGCCGAGCAGGGAGCCCGATGCGGGACTCGATCCCGGGACTCCAGGATCATGACCTGAGCCGAAGGCAGTCGCTTAACCAACTGAGCCACCCAGGCGCCCAAAGCATGAGCATTTTAAAAAGACTTGTTAGTAACTTCACTGAGCAGCCAGGGTTGAGAACCTCTGCTTGTCTGGGACAGAAACGCTACAAGTAGAGCTTGAGGTGGAGCGGGGGCTGCCTCTCTCTTCCCTTTGGCCCCCAGCAGGGTTTGTTGGGCACAGTTTGAAAGCCGCATCAGCCCCATGGTCCCGAGAATCCTGTGAGGATGTGGAGGATGGTGTGCCCACCTGCTGGTGGCAGTTCTGTTCGGGGCTTGTGCTGCTGCCTCACACGCCAGCATGGGAATTAGGCAGACGTCCTGGTTCAGCCCCAGGAGCAGGGTCCCCTGTGCTGAGGTTGCAGGGCCTGGGAATAGCTATGGGAAGGTGGTGGGAATTAGGTGTCAGGCCTCCGTGCATCTAGTTCGGCCAGATAGTGGATTGCTACCCCTTTGCTCCTTGTCACCTCTGGGAGGGACTTACTGATATAACTGCAGCTCTCCAGAGGGCATGCTGTGAGGGTGATTCTGCCAAGCCCAGAGTTGTTGCTGGTTATAGCCAAGATTCAGAGGTGGTGGGCCTTTTCGTTAAAAATGGTCATCCCTGGCTTTTAATTAGCACTTTTATCTAATTTGAATTTTATGGGGATAGCAACTTACACAAGGGGCTTATTGCACCCGTATTACTGATGATGAAAATGAGGTCCAGAGAAATGATCACTTGCCTATGATCACACAGGGAAGCCTGAGCCTGGCTTCGTCCTGATGTTGGCCATTCTTCTGTCCCCTGCTTCATCTGTCCGACCAGCCCTCCGTCGGGGAGAGGGCTGCTGTTATTTGTACATCCAGTTACACACATGCCAGCCCCCCTTTGTCTGGTACCATTTCTTCTGCTGGGAGGGCTGTCCGTCCACACGATTGGTTCACAGCCGCTGAGGTTCTGACCTGCTTGGTGCACAGAGTGGAGAATGCTGTGGAGGCAATGAATCGGACTTAGATTCATTTGTGGGTTTTTTCCCTGGGATGAATTAGGACCCACGAGTTGCTTTCAGTTCCATTCTCTGGCTCCCTGAATGACTGGAGCCCAGGCTCTGTATCTAACACTTATTACCCAGCGCCCTCTGGGGCCCATAGACAATGCAGCACCTGTCAGAGATGATAAATATCTAGGCCAAAGGTTTTTTTTAAAAATCTCTGCAGTCGAATGGAATGCTCGATCAAGATGACAGGGTATTTTCAGGGAATAAATAAAGCACTGATACCTAACTTACTCTTTTTTCTTCCCTCTTGGCTGCCACACATGACCTGACCCTGGTGGTCAGTCTCCTTGGCTGCCCTTCCTCTTCTGGGCCCTTGCTCGGGCTTTGTCCCTGCTGCTAGCCCCTTCTCTGCCTCCTGCTCGGCCTGAGGAGGACCTGCCCGTCCGCAAGGCCTGGCTCAGCTCAGAAGTCGCTCCTCACCTCCTTCTTTTCCACTCTTCCCGCTCCTGTCTCACAGCCTGTAAGTTACCAAGTCCTGTTGATCTGCTTCCCTCGTCCTTCCAGAATTGCTCTCCAGCCCCATTGCCACTTCCCAGACAAGCCGCCATCACCTCTGTGTTGGGCAGCCTGGGCTTGGCCTCCCGGTCACATCTCACCCTGCTTGCTGTCTGCCTTGTGTCAGAGGGATTATGGCATCTGTGTCCCCCCTCTGGAATGAGTGAGCTCTTTGAAGGCACCCCTTTGTCTCACACAGAGCCTGGGCTCCAGTCCTCAGGGAACAGTAGCCCCCTCCAGCAGCATCTCTCAGGGTGTGCGCAGTGGAGGAGAATGGCGTGTCCCCCTTCCACCCCTGCAGTCTGGCCCCTTGTGCTGACAGTGTTGGGCTCCCACAGGTGAGTGAGGGGGAGGCCCGGGACTGAGGAGCCACCAGTTTGCACTGGCTCTCTCCCTGACACCCACTCCCAATGCGTTTGGCAAGGATGGAGCCTTCTGTGGCCAGAGCAGGGCTTTGGCAGGCCTTGGCCAGCATTGGAAGTTGTGTTTCTGGGGGCCTGGGTCCAAAAAGAGAAAGGCCTGAGAGCATTGAGAACAGAAGACGAGTGTGGCCACCTCAGAGCCCAGGGCCAGCCCGCATGGGCTCTGGAGCCCCTGCCTGGGTGGGATTTGCCATGTTTGACAGGAAGTGGCACAGGCCGAAGTGGCTTCCCTACGCCTCAGCTGGGTCTGGGAGACAGGATCACTTGCACCCACAAGGTGCAAAGCCTGTCCTCCTGGCCTTTGCACCATGGCCCCTTCACCTCCAGTGGACTCATCGCCTATTTCCTCCCCAGACTGAGCTTGGCTCATCCCCAGAAGGTTCTAGGTGTTCCCACCTCCTCCCTGTGCTCACACATTTACCCCACTCTGATGCTCTTCTCTGTGCCCTGTCTGCTGCTGCCCTTCCGAGGCCCCTTTTCAGTCCCTCTGCTCCCAGAAAGCCTGGTGCCCCCATCACAGGACTCCTGAGCCCCTTCTCATTGCCCTACCCCGTCCCCCGACCCCTGCGGCCTTCTCCCATTTGCCCAAGTGTGAGTGTGTCTCCCTCACAGTCTGGGAGTTCCCAGACTGGGGCCAGGGCTCTTCTCCCTCCCCAGCAGACCTCGGGACAGACCTGGCCAGGGCCTCAGTGAGGACACTGGAAGTAGGCAAGCTCTGCCCACCCACCCGCCCCCCAGGACTTCTCCCCCACTCCTTTCCCTCATCTTGGTTGGGGCACTTGGGCACGGGGGCAGAAGAGTGAAAGGGACCCCTGCAGACCAAGGAATAAAAATGCACTCCTTTATTCCCTGTGGGAGAGACAGCTCAGGGAGCTGCCAGCGTCCATTCTGGGAGGCAGGCTCCATCTTGGGGCCCCAGGAAGGCCAGGGCAGTGATTGGGGGCACCACTGGCCTCACGGGCAGGGCAGGTCCAGGTGGGGGCTGCTGCCCCTTCCTCAGAGCTTTTCCAGGTAGGAACCAGGGACGAAGCCACGCTGCCCATTCCGTTCCACTGTCCACCAGCCATCCTCCCCCTCCAGGATGACTTCCAGGATGTCTCCCGCAGAGATACTCAGCTCGTCGGAATTCTGGGCAAGAGAATGAAAGTGCATTGGGCTGGAGGGGCCATTTCGGGGGCCTGGGGGTAGGCTCTGGTCGGCACCCCCACCCCAGGCAGTAAATGCGAGTTTGTCTCCCAGGTGGGCGCAGTCCTCAGAGCTGCACCTGGCCTCCTGGAGCCACAGAATGAGGCCGCTCTCTGGGCTGGGGTGGCCTTTGGAGACAGGTAGGGTCTGGGGTGTCAGACTGGTGTGGGACTCAGCCTCCTGCCCTCCCTGGTTTGTCAATGTAGACCTCCCTCACCCTGGGGCTTCTTCCCCTCACTTTCCCCCTGCCGCCCCCTCCCCCCCAGCTCTGCTCCAGGCCCAGGGTCAGGTGTGCTCACCATGCTCCAAACATTCCCAGGCCCACTGCACACAGCCTCCCCAGTGCTGGTGAGCTAGCCCCTGTCGTGCAAGCACATTCTCATTCTCTTGGCCTGTCCCCCTGCCAACCAAGGACCGGGCTTTGGGAGTCTGCACAGACCACTTAGCCCCGAGGGGATGGCTGCCTTCAATCCGGGTGGACTGAGGGGGCTCTGCAACCTTACCTCAAAGCAGGGAGCAGACTGAACTCTTGAGGATCTCAGCACAGCTGCCCTGTGGCCCCCTGACCCATCCTCTCCCCGTGGACCTCAGAAAACCAACCCGGGCCCAGCTGAGGGGCTCATTCTGGCTGTGGCTTGTTCTTGGCACCCACGGCCCCAACCTGAGGGCACAGAGACTGACCCTCGGACCCTTTCCTGCAGGTAGCCCCAGCGTCTGTCAGCGTGCCTGCTCATGCACGCACACCCAGGCAGACACAGGCCCTTGTCCCCATTCATCAACGTTTGCTCAGCAGCTCTACACCGAGCCACTCCTAAGTGCTGGGTGCTGTTCTGAGGGCGCACACGCCGGCACACTCCAGGGCACGAGCCTCTGTGTGGCCGCACTCGGGCATACCTGTGCCCTCCTGAGGAGAGGAGGGTGAGGGCCTCACCTGGGCCATGTAGTCATAGAGCACCCTGTAGCCCTGGGCTGGCAGGGTTGGGGGGCCCGGTGCCTCCTTCACTGCGATGGTAGAGTAGACAATCTCATTCTGTTCGGGGGTTGGGGTCAGGGTCTCTGTGAAGGCTGAAAGCAGTGTGAGAGGCCTGGAGCCCACTCCTTTCAAAGGCAGTGATCCCTGGAGACGCCCCCTGGTGTGGAGCTTCCCCAGACTTGGCTCAGCCTCCCCACAAAAGCATTTGGACAACCCATCCATGCCATATAGGAGTCCTCTCCTTTCCCCTGGGCTCAGTTGTTTAGTGGCCCCTGCGCCACCCCCAGTCACCTGCAGAAACTGCCAATGATGTAGTCTTGGGACTCCCGTGCAGCAGTCCAGAGAACCTGGGGACAAGAAGGAAAGCAGGTGGGCCCTGGAGGGAGGGGGATGAGGCAGGGGGCCCTCAAAGCTCCAGGGCTGAGCTCCCCCAAGGGTGGTCCCAGTGGCCTTGCCTTCCCCTGCCATACCCTCCCGGGCCTCCTCGGCTCCTGCTCCTGCTCCTGCGCCTGCTGCTCACGGGCCCTCCATGCGCCGCTCCCAGGGCCCTGTGCCCCTAGACCCCTGCTCCACCCTCCCCCACTGGTGAAGCCGTTGCCCCTCAGCGTGCAGCCCAGTCGTGCCCTGCTGGGGCCTCCACCTGCCTGGGCCCAGCCAGTCCTCCTCCCTGCGCTCCAGCGTGACCCGGCCAGCCCGGCCGCTCCCTGACCAGGCGACGTTGGGCCCCTGTGTACGCACGAGGCGGTGCCGTGGTCGTTCACCCCTTCTCCCGTGCCTGGCTCAGGCCTGGGCGAGCGGGAGTCGTGAAGGTTGTCGAATAAAAGAACGGGACAAGCAAGAGGCGGACACTGGGGCCACCAGTGGGGAGGCATGCGTGGGCACCCCACGGAGCAGGCAGGGCTGAGGGCTACATAAGAAGAGGCTGACGCCATTCCCAGCTTCAGGAAAGGCTTCTGGGTAGGGTCGGGCCAAGTCCTGAAAGAGCTTCACCAGGCAGAGATGGGACAAGGCCTGGGCAGTGAGCGGCAGACATGCAGGGGGAGCTCCGCACGGGCAGAGGAGTTTGCTGAGTGCAGTGGGCCCACCGGGGGCGTGGGGGACAAGACCGGAGTAGGGACTGGGCCAGACCCCAGGGGGTTCTGAGTGTGGCTCGGTGGGGCACGAGGGGCCTTTCCCCCAGGCGGGGAAGCTCCGTGACACCCACACCCCCACAAACAAGCCCAGGGCCCGGCGTGGACACTCGTGCCCAGGCTGGAGACGCAGGACAGGCGCGGGCGGACCTCAGGCCACGCAGCTCCAACAGCAATGACACAGTCCTGCCCCTTGGTAAAAGCCGGCAGGGCCGTGGCTGGGAGGAGCAGAGCTCGCGGCGGCCGCTGTGGGCCCTCCCTCCGCCCGTTTCTCCGGAGTTGTCTGTGCCTGTGCCAGCCCCCAGCTGTGCTTGCCTTCCAGCTGGCCCCTGCGGTGGCCCCTGCCCGCCCCGCCAGTGGCCAGGCCTCCTCCGGCCGCTGGGCCTTCTCTCGCGTCCTCATAAAGGCACCCCTTTCTGTCCTTCCTTGACATCACCCCAGGTGAGCTCTTCCGTCCAGGTGTTTAAATGACCACGTGTGTTGAGCTGCGGGTCCTCCCCAGGGCTGCAGGGAGGCCCGAGTCCCCCACGATTCCGCACGGTGAGATGGTGAGGGCGTGCCTGCCCTCCTCCTGGGGTCCTGCCTCCTGGAGGGGCATGCTGTGCCTCCAGAGGTGTCCTCAGGGGAGGCTCCAGGGGTTCCTGAGGCCTCAGGAAAAAGCTGGGAGGGCTGGGAGATCCATCCACCCATCCTCACCCTTCCCTACCACCCGCAGGCAGGGCCTTCCTCGGCAGGAGGTTGGATGGAGAGAGGGCGTCACAGGGGCCTTGGGGTGGGAGTGGGGCGCAGACACCACACGAAACACACAGATGCTGTCAGACCCCCACCGACAGGGCCCACAGACCCTCAGGAGCCTGGCTGCCGGAGACCTCCCTGAGCAGGCCATGGTGCTCTCAGTGGGCTGTCGCCGTTGTCGCCCAAGGCCTGAACCAAGAGAGTCCTTAGGTTCTGAGTCTGATGCAAACAACTCATGGGCTCCTTACCTAGCAAAGGCCAGTGACTTGTGCGGGTGACACAGTGATGCGTGGTATGAGGGCCCTCTGCAGCCAGGCCAAAGAAGGGGCCCTGAGAAGCCCGGGGAACTCTCCCAAGAGTCCTGGCTCTCGGGCCCGCGCCTGTGCCCTGATCCTGCCCCAGCCGGGAAGTGCCACCACTGCAGCGTGACTGTCCAGGGCACCAACCCAGGCTAGCAGCCGGGCCCAAGGGACACGGAAGCTGGCCTCGGGCCTCCCTGGAGCTCCCAGCACAGTCACTGGTGAGTAAGTGGGCTCTGATGATTTGCTCAATGTCTGGGACCCTTGGGCTGCGGGTGTCATGAGCCACATTGAGTCTGTCTTGTCCCCAGAGTGCCCAAGACCTACACACAGCACCAGGCCCACCGTAGGTGCTCGATAAGTACATGTGGAAGAGCCACTTGCAGGTGGGAAGGCTGGACCCAATTCCTGGTGCCTCCCCAGCCCCATCAGGCACCTCACCTCTTTATCATGCCGCAGGATGGCTGGACGCCAGGGCTGCCCGATGCCGGGGTGACCTCCCGATTGTAGTAGTTCTGGAAGGGCACCGGAGCTGTGGGCAGCAAGCCAGTGAGGCCCAGGGTGGCCAAGGATGGGGCAGGCAGGACCTATGCCACCTGATACCCCAACTGGTCCCTGTCCAGAGACCCAGACTCGGGCCCCACCTCCCCATTCTGGCCCTCAGCTGCCTCCGGGCTTGGGGAAGGGGCTTCTCTCACAGGCCCTAAGAGGGCCCCCCGTCTCTGCCCCCGCTTCTCAGTGTTGTAACGTTCTTAAACGCTGTGCGGCCTCTGCCTCAGGCGGCAGCGGCAGGCCGGGGACCCAGCCAGGGGACTGCGCCGTCCCCGACCCCTCCTCCGAGTCCGGCCAAGGCTCCTGCACCCAGAAGGGAGCTGCGAGCTGCCCTGCCCGTCCCGGCGGCGGAGGCTCGGAGAGCTGGGGCCAGGCCTCACCTGGGGGCTCGGTGCCTGTGCTCTTGGCGTGGATAAAGCCGTCGATGTCGGCTTCCACGTTGCAGCCTTCTAGTGTCACCCGCACCTCCTCATAGAGCTGCGGCAGGAAAGAAAAGAGGCTGAGGGACCAGGCCTCACCTTGACGCCCCCCCTCGTCCAAGTCCTGCACCTCAGTGGGCCTGAACTCTGGCCAGGAGCCCCCGTCCCACCAGCCTCCTCACGGGCCTTGTGTGCACAGCTCAGTGCCTATATTTGGGGGCGGTGGCATGAGGGGTCAGAGCCCCGGCTGACAGCTTCTCCTGGTTCCTAAACACTTGCTGTGCGCAAGGTCCTATGCAAGGGGCCTACCTCACTCCTGCCCTCGGAAGGAGACACTGCTTTCCCCCATTTTACAGACAAGGAAACAGGAAAAGTGACTTGCCCAAGGTCACAGAGCAAGAATTCATTGCAGCCAGACTGGATTTCATTTGAGAAGATCCAAAGCCCACACTCCTTCCTCTGCCATGAGGAAGGCACCACATGGGCTCAAGTCATTTTGGGGGGAAAACCCCCAAACCCCACAGTCCATGGGCAGAAAGGGTTAGGCAAGGAATAGCAGTGGGCATGAGGGAGTCCGAGCTACCTCAAAAGAGAGCTCATGGCTCTCAGGCTGCATCAACAGAGGTCAGAGCCCCTGGCGTGGAAGTGGCAGCCCCCCTGTCCTGGGGGACCCCACCCCAACACTCCTGGCATGTAGAGTTCAGTAAGGGGAACCAGGATACCGCAGAGAGTCTGGGGGGCAGAGGAGGGACTGGACCTTGGCTCCTGCAAGCACCAGCTGTGGAGGAGAGCCGCCCAGGGTCCTCCAGCATCTCTGCAAACCTCTGAGAGGCAGTGCCCACCAACCTCCCCGACCCCAGCAGAGGGGGCAGGTGCTCTGTGGCCCTGAGAGCAGAGTCGAGGACCTTGGAGGCAGGGGTGGGCAAAGAGGCAGACGCCAGGGCAACCACAAAGGCAGTCTTCCAGGTAGGGAGGCCAGGGCCCTATACTGAGCCCCCTGTCCTTGGGGCCCCAGGGGCAGAGGCTAAGCCCTGAGGTGTTTGTTGATGGACTCAGATGGACCCGGGCATGCTGTTGTCTGCAGGCTGCCGTCCCCTCACACCCCCACCCCAGCTCACTCTCTGGCCCTCCCTGTCCTTAGTCCCCCCACCTCATCGTCCTTGACACACTGCAAGGAGAGCTGGTTGCAGTGCACCCACATGGAGTTGCGAAGGACGGTCAGTCGGTCAAACTCTTGCAGCTGAAAGGCCTGGGAGGTGGAGGTGGGATGGAAGCGAGAAGTGAGGACAGGCTTGCGGGGCCAGGCCAGACTGGGGCCTGCCCGACGCATCCCCACCTCAGGAGGTGCTGACTAGCTCCACCCCGCTCTGCTGAGTCCAAAGGAAACACCCTTCTTGGGGATCCCCACCCCCACCTCTGTGCCAGTGCCTGAGGCTTCCGGTTCCGAATGCCCCCACCCTCCCTCCGGGCTCCACCACACACTGGAAAAAGCCCTGGGGAGTGTTGTAAGAGGAGCACTGGACCTGGCGTCCTGAAGCCTGTCTCCCAGGCCTTTGTCCACCAGCAGGACCCAGAGAAGCTATGAGTTTTGTCTGAGCCTCAGTTTTGCCCTCAGCAGAAAGGGGTGAAGGCTGCCTGCCTAAAACAAAGGGCCCCAGGGCACAAAGCCAGATGGTGAGCTCCCAGAGACAGGGACCCAGCGCTGGGCCTGGGGAGAGAGTGGACGGGTGAATGAGGGAATGAGGCCTTCCTCCCGTCACTGCCTTGCTTTCCCCCACGAAGCAGCTGGAGGGATAGACATCTTTCCCATTTTGCAGCTGGGGAAAGGACTCCATGCCCAAGGTCACTCACCTCACAAGTGGTCCGGTGTTCCTGCTCCCACTCGCCCCGCACCTTCTCCAACTGTTCAATGTTCTGCCTGTACACTCGCTCTGGAAGCACAGGTGGGCCTCAAGGAGACCAAGGCCCAGACACCCTCCCCGACCCTCCACCCCTTTGCGCCCGCAGTGCCCCTGTACCGAGTGCCCTCCAGGTCCTTGGAGTGCCCCCTCCTCCCTCAGAGAGACCTGCCCTGGCTTCTGGCGCCTCATTTGAATGCCTGTTAGGGCCACCTACTCTGGTACTGGTCTTTTGGCGGTGACTCTTAACTCCCCACTGTGCTCTGAGCTGCCCAGGGCTGCAGTGGAGCCCATACCTCAAGATCAGAGTTCAGGCCTCTTGCCATCCCTGGGTCCCACCCTCTCACACTTTCTGAGGCTTGGAGAAGGCAGCACTGAAGGAGGTAGGGGGAGCATGGGAGCTGTGGAGATGGAAACCAGCAGACTTGGCCATGACCTCCATTCCCAGAAATCTGAGGGACACCTATCTGCCAGCCAAGGGAGCAGCTGGGTCCTGGGAGAGGCAGAGCAGAAGGGAGAACATTTCCAGGGAGAGTGGGGGTGAGCTCTCTGGACTAGGAGGTGTGCCAACAGAGACAAAGCGTGTTGGGGGAGGGGGGTTCTGGCATCTGGTGAAGGATAGAAGAGAAAGAGGCCTAGAGAGGGCTGTTTGTGTGTATGAGAGAGGTGAGTGGGTCTGTCTCCCATGATGGCGGGGCTGTGAAAGTCCTGGGCTCTGGAGCCAGATAGCCTGGGTTGAAATGCAGTCACCACCACTTCTTAGCTGTGTGACCTTAGGTAAATTACTTAACCTCTCTGTGTCTCAATTTCCTCATTTGTTAAAAAGGGGGTTGCAACAGTGTGGCCGAACCAGTGGGGGCTAACCTCACCCACTAGCACACCTGCAGCAGCTGCAGCCAACCCTCTCAGCTAACTGCGCTGGTCGGTGACCAGCCCTCCCTACCAGCAAGCCTGCAGCAGTCACAGCCAAGTCACAACAGGAGGGTATATGTAGCCCACACAGGTGATACCTCTGGAGTCCTGGTTCTAGTGAACAGGAAGGATTGTGCACTGGGCCCCACAGGACACCTTCTACATAAGACCACTACTTTCAAGTCCAGGATACATAACTGACTTACCTAATACATAGAAACATACACAGACAAAATGGGGGGAAGAAGAATATGTTCCAAATGAAAGAACAAGACAAAAGCTCAAAAAAAAAAAAAAAAAAAAAAGAACAAAGCAAAGATAAACAATCTACCTGATAAAGAGTTCAAAGTGATAGTCATAAAAATGTTCACCAGACTTGAGAGGAGAGTGGATGAACTCAGAACTTCAACAAAGAGATGAAAAAAAGAACCAAACAGAGCTGAAGAATTTAATAACTGAAATGAAAAATACACTAGAGGGAATCCACAGCAGATTAGAGGATGCAGAAGAACAGATCAGGGATCTGGAAGATAGGGTAGTAGAAAATTTCCAAGATAAATAGCAAGAAGAAAAAAGAATTTTAAAAATGAGGATAGGTTAAGGGATATCAGGTGTACTAAAATTTGCATTTTAGGGGTCCCAGAAGCTAAAGAGAGAAAGGGGGCAGAAGACTTACTTGAAGAAAGAATAGCTGAAAGCATCCCAAGCCTGGGGAAGGAAACAGACATCTGGGTCCAGACATCCAGGGTCCAGGAATCACAGACAGCCCCAAACCAGACAAGACAAACCCAAAGAGGCCCACACCAAAACAAATAATCATTAAGAGATCAAGAATTAAAGCTAAGAAATCTTAAAAGCAGCAAGAGAGAAGCAACTAGTTATATATAAGGGACACCATAAAGCTAACAGCTGATTTTTTCAGCAGAAACTTTGCAGGCCAGAAGGGAGTGGTGTGATAAGAATAAAATGCTGACAGGAAAACAACAACAACAAAAAAAAACAACAACCTAAGGGTGTCTACCTGGCTCAGTTGGTGGGAGTGTGTGACTCTTGATCTTGGGGTTGTTTGAGCCCCACGTTGGGTGTAGAGATTACTTAAAAAAAATTAAAACCCCTAAAATCAAGAATACTCTACTTAGCAAGATTATCATTCAAAGAAAAGTTAAAGGAGTTCATCATCGCTAAACTGACCTTACAAGAAATGTTAAAGGGATTTTTTTTAAATGGAAAAGAAAAGGCCGTAACTAGAAGCAAGAAAATTATGAAAGGGAAGAAGTTCAATAGTAAAAGCAAACATACTGTAAAAATAGTAGATCAATCACTTATCCAACTAGTGTGAAGGTTTAAAGAAAAAAGTAGTAAAATCAATTATATCTACAAAAATTAATCAAAGAATATGCAAAATAAAAAGATGTACAATATGACATACATAAATGTAGAGGGGGGAGTAAAAATGCAGTGCTTTTAGAATGTGTTGGAACTTAAGTGACCATCAACATAAAATAAACTGCTATATACATAGAATATTATATATGAACCTCATAATAACCACAAACCCAAAACCTATAATAGATACACAAAAAATAAAGAGAAAGGAACCCAGCCATAACACTAAAATTATCAAATCATAAGGGAAGAGAGCAAGAGAAGAACTACAAAAACAACCAGAAAACAGTTAACAAAATGCCAATAAATACATATTTATCAGGGACGCCTGGGTGGCTCAGATGGTTAAGCGTCTGCCTTTGGCTCAGGTCATGATCCCAGGGTTCTGGGATCGAGCCCCACATCGGGCTCTGTGCTCAGCAGGGAGTGTGCTTCTCCCTCTCCCTCTGCCTGCCTGTCTGCCTACTTGTGATCTCTCTCTCTCTCTGTCAAATAAATAAATAAAATCTTAAAAAAAAAAAACATATTTATCAATAATAACTTTAAATATAAATGGAGTAAATGCTCCAATCAAAAGCCATAGGGTGACGGAATGGATAAAAAATAAAACCTATTTAGGGGTGCCTGGTGGCTCAGTTGGTTGAGCATCAGATTCTTGATTTCAACTCAGGTCATGATCGCAGGCTCATGGGATCAAGCCCCATGTCAGGCTCCACACTCATCGTGGAGTCTACTTGTCCCTCTCCCTCTGTTTCTCCCCCTGCTCTTGCTCTCTCTCTCTTTCAAATCGTTTTTAAAAAGTAAGACCTATCCAAATACTTCCTCCAAGAGACTCACTTCAGACCTAAAGACACATAAAAATGAAGGGATGGAAAAAGATACTCCATGTAAATGGAAGCAACAACAACAACAAAAGCTGGGGTAGAAATAATCAGACAAAACAGACTTTTCAAAAAGACTGTAACAAGAGACAAAGATGGGCATTACACAGTGATAAAGGGATCAGTCCAACTAGAGGATATAACAATTGTAAATATCCATGCACCCAACATAGGGGTACCTAAACATATAAAGCAAGTAGTGACAAATGCAAAGGGAGAAATTGACAGTAATACAACAATATTAGGAGACTAATATTAGGAGACTAACTCCACTTACATCAATGGATAGATGATCCAGACAGAAAATCAATAAGGAAACGATGTCTTCGAATGACATTTTAGACCACATGAACTTAGATATGTACAGAAGATTCCATCCCCAAACAGTAGAATACACATTCTTTTCAAGTGCACATGAACATTCTCTGGGATAGATCACATGTTAGGCCACAAAACAAGTCTCAGTAAATTTAAGAATGTTAAAATACTACAAAGCATCTTTTCTGATCACAACAGTATGAAACTAGAAATCAATTACAAGGGAAAAACTGGAAAAAAAAAAAAAAACCCACAAACACATGGAAGTAAATAACATGCTACTAAACAACCAGTGGGTCAATGAAGACTCAAAAAGGAAACCAAAAAATACTTGGGAGATGAATGAAAATGGAAACACAACATTTCAGAATCTCTGTGAGGTGGCCAAAGCAATTCTAAGAGGGAAGTTTACACCAATACAGGCTTACCTCACGAAACAAGAAAAACCTCATGTGAACAATCTAATCTTACATCTAAAGGAACTAAAAAAAGAACAAAGCCCAAAGTTAGTAAGGAAGGAAATAATAGAGTGGAAATAAGTGAAATAGAGACTAAAAAAACCCACAACAGATCAAATCAATAGATCAATAAAACTAAGAGCTGGTTCTTTGAAAAGAAACAAAATTGATAAACCTTTAGCCAGACTCATTAAGAAAAAAAGAAAGAGGACTCAAAATCAGAAATGAAAGAGAAGTTACAACCGACACCACAAAAATATAAAGGATTAGAAGAGACTACTAGAAAAAACGGATGCAGAAAAACCATTTGACAAAACTCAACATCCATTCATGACAAAAACTCTCAACAAGTAGGTTTAGAGGGAACATATTTCAACATCAAATGAAGGCCATATATGACAAATCCACAGCTAACACCATATCAATAGTGAAAAGTTGAAAGCTTTTCCTTTAAGATCAGGAACAAGACAAGGATTCCGTTCTCACCATTTTTATTCAGCCATCAGAAAAGAAAAAGAAATAGCCAAATTGGTAAGGAAGAAGTAAAAGCGCCACTATTTGCAGATAACATGACATTATATACAGAAGGCCCTAGAGCTTCCACCAAAAAACTATTTTGCAGGATACAAAATCAATATACAGAAATCTGTTGTATTTCTGTACACCAATAATGAACTAGAGGAAAGAGAAATTAAGAAAACAATCCCATTTATAATTGCACCAAAAAGAATAAAATACCTAGGAATAAATTTAATCAAGGAAATGAGAGACCTGTACTCTGAAAACGAAGGCCTTGATGAGAGAAATTGAAGACAACACAAGTAAATGGAAAGATACACCACGTTCATGGATTAGAAGAATTAATATTGTTACAATGTCCACACCACTCAAAGAAATTTACAGATTCAATACAATCCCCATGAAAACACCAACAACATTTTTCACAGAACTAGAACAAATCCTAAAATTTGTACAGAACCACCAAAGACCCTGAACAGCCAAAACAATCTTGAGAAAGAGTAACAAAGCTGGAGGTATCACAATGCCAGATTTCAAACTATACTACAAAGCTATAGTAATCAAAACACATACCGGTACATAAACAGATTCATAGGAACAGAATAGAGAGCTCAGAAATAAACCCGTGTTCATATGGTCAATTAATCTACGGCAAAGGAGGCAAGAATATACAATGGGGAAAAGATAATCTCTTCAATAAATGCCCCTTGGAAAACTGGAGAGCTGCATGCAAAAGAATGAAACCGGACCACTTCCTTATACCACACACAAAAATAAACTAAAATGGATTGAAGACCTAAATGTGAGACTGAAACCATAATGGTCCTAAAAGAAAACCTGGGCAGTAAACTCTTGGATGTCAGCCTTAGCAATATTTTTCTGCATCTGTTTCTTCAGTGAAGGGAAACAAAAGCAAAAATAAACAATTGGAACTACATCAAACTAAAAAGCTTTTGCACAGCAAAGGAAACCATCCACAAAATGAAAAGACAACCAACTGAATGGGAGAAGATAAGGGGATAATATTCAAAATATATAAAGAATTCATACAACTCAACATTAAAAAAATACAACCCTGGGGCACCTGGGTGGCGCAGTCTGTTAAGTGTCTGACTCTTGTTTTTGGCTCCGGTCATGATCTCGGGGTCGTGGGATCGAGCCCCGTGTTGGACTCTGCGCTTGGCATGGAGTCTGCTTGAGTTTCTCTCTCCATCTCCCTCTGCCCCCCACCATGCATTCTCTCTCCCTCTCTAAAATAAATCAATCAATCTTAAAAAAAAAAAAACCCCAAAACCCAATCTGATTAAAAAGTGGGCAGAAGACCTGAATAGGCATTTTTCCAAAAATGACATACAGATGACAAATAGACACATGAAAAGATGCGGGCGCCTGGGTGGCTCAGTTGGTTAAGCAACTGCTTTCGGCTCAGGTCATGATCCTGGAGTCCCAGGATCAAGTCCCGCATCGGGCTCCCTGCTCCGCAGGGAGTCTGCTTCTCCCTCTGCCTCTCCCCGCTCCCACCCGCCTCATGGCTTGTGCTCTCTCACTCACTCTCTCTCTCTCGCAAATAAATAAATAAAATCTTTAAAAAAAAAAAGAAAGAAAGAAAAGATGCGCAGTATCACTCATCATCAGGAAAATGCAAATCAAAATCAGTGAGGTATCACTTTATACCAGTCAAAATGGCTAGGATCAAAAAGACAGGAAACAACCGGCGTTGGCGAGGATGTGGAGAAAGGGGAACCCTCTTGCACTGTTGGTGGGAATGCAAGCTGGTACACCTACTCTGGGAAATAGTATGGAGCCTCCTCAAAAAATTACAAACAGAACTATCATACAGTCCAGTAATTCCACTTCTGGCTATTTACCTGAAAAAAATGAAAACACTAATTGGAAAAGATACATGCACACCTATGTTTAGAGCAGCATTATCTACAATAGGCAAGATGTGGAAGCAGCCTCAGTGTCCACCGACTGATGAATGGATAAAGAAGAAGTGGTATATGTATACAATGGAATATTATTTAGCCACAAAAAGGAAAGAAATCTTGCCATTCTTGACGACATGAATGAACCTAGAGGGTATGATGCCAAGTGAAATAAATCAGACAAAGAGAAATGCCATATGATTCCACTTTATGTGTGAAATCTAAAAAATGGAACAACAAAAAAACCAGAAACAGAATCATAAAAATAGAGAACAAACTGGTTGCCAGAAGGCAAGGGGGTGGGAAGATGCACAAAATAAGTGAAGGGGATTAAGAGCTATAAACTTCCATTTATAAAATACATGAGTCACAGGGATGAAAAGTACAGCATAGGGAATAGAGTCAATAATATTGTAATAACGCTGTGCGGTGACAGGTGGTAACCACATATATCTTGGTGAGCATTGCATAATGCTTATAATTGTCGATTCACTGTTGTACACCTGAAATTAATATAGTATCATATGTCAACTTCACTTCAATTAAAAATTTAAAAGGGGGATAGTAATAGCGCCACCTCGTAGGATTCTTATGCAGAGTAGTTGAAACATGCAAAGTACCAAGAACACGTATGTTTTTATTTTACTTGCATGATTATGTGAGAGTGGTGAGCATGTGCCTTTGTACAGTCATGTGTCCGTGTGTGTCCCCAGGGTGAGGAGAGTGGTGTGCAGGGGGCGGGGGCCAGGCCTCTCTGGCCACCATCCCAGGTTGGAGGAAGCGGGCAGGGCTGCGTACCTGCCTCCATGGCTGAGTCCTTGCACTGCTTGGCCTTGTTCTGGCTCTGAGGAGATGGAGGGAAAGCCATGCTGAGCTGGCCCCAGCCCTCGGGGTCCCAGCCTCCCCGGGGGGCTCTGAAGTGCTTCCATCCCACCCTTCCTGAGCCACCCAAGAGGACACTCAGGAGCCAACTGTGGGCACCTTCCACCGTTTACTCCAGCCTCACTCCACAGAGGAGCACAGTCAAAAAGGGTCCAATAAAAATACATAAAAACAGAAGCGTGCAGCCCATGCACACAGGTGTGACAACTGGATGTGAAGACCTGAGGGAGAAATGTGGATGGAGCCAGGTACCGCTGCTCCACCTGGCCACCGCTGACCCCGCTGGCTGGGACTTGGGCTCTGCTTTCGACTTGCTGCCCCTAAGTCGCCCTTGGGCCCCTGTTCACCCTCACCCCAGAGGCCAGAGCAGTCAAGACGCTGGGCTCTGGATGATCTGGGTGTGCATCCTTTCTCCATTGCTTCCTGGCTCTGAGACCTTGGACAATTCACTCACCGTCTCTGGGCCTGTTTCCTCTCTGTGACATGGGTCTCCCCAAGCCCCTCTCCAAGGGTTATGTGAGAGTTAGCTGGTCCTGCCTGTCCATGCCCTGAGATTCTAGGAAACCCCTTTCACAGATGGGGAGACGGGGTTTCAGAGAGGAGTGGGTAGATGTCCCAGATACAGACCTTTCTCGGGGTGTCTCTGGCACCCCCTCCTTCCCTCCCTGCCATGTTCCAGCCCTGGGTGACACCATATGGCCTCAGTGGCCCCACGCACCTTCTCCACCTGCTTCTGGGGGCCATTGGTGCTAATGCGCTCGAAGGCCTGCTCAGCGTCATCGGCATCACGGCACTTCTGCTCATATGACTTCTTGGACTGGGGGAGTGGAGAAGCGGGACTGGGGGGGCGCCCAGAGTGAGGCTCCCTGAACCCAGCCTCCCTTCTCCCTGTCGGGGGGCTGTGGGTGGAGTGGGGGCCTCCTGATGAGGGACAGGGGTCTGGGGGTCCAGAAGGGAGATGGAGAGAGGAGTTTTGTTCCCAGGCCCTGCCCCCCTGGGGACAGTGTGGCCCTGCCCATGGCCGCATCCTCTTTAAAGGCATGGTCACATCAAACCACCAGCAGGTCCCTGAAAATGCCATGCTGGCCTCTGCACATGCTGTCCCCTCTTGCAGAACCCCTTTTCTCCTCCCTAGGGGAGACAGCTCAGGGGTCCCTTCTCCCTCCACCCCAAGTCCCCAGCTGACAGCATGGATCATCGTGTGGGCCACTGTCTGGGACTGCCCGCCTGCTCATCAGTCAGAAGCTCCCCAAGGGCAGGGCCTGGGCCTATCCACATGGGCCCTTGGTTCCCCGTGCAGCCCCGAGCACCCAACAGGCCATGGTGTGTGTTGTTGGATGGGTGGTTGGAGGCTGGCCCTGTCCCAGGGGCCCAGCCCAGGGCTCTTGGGGTCCACACGATGCGTCCTCCAGGCCCGTGACCCTCACACTCACATCCATGGCCTTCTTGTAGAGAGATAGCTTGGTCTTCTGGACACGGTCCATGACGGCCTCGTACTGTAGGCGACACAAGGCTCTGAGCAGGGGGGCTGTGGCCTCAGGATGCTCCCTAGGCCAAGAGAACTGGTGTCCCTGGGATGAGGCACAGCATCCCCTCCTGGCTCTGAAGGGGGCAGTGACAATATGTCCTCCCTCTCCCGTGCCCTGCTCTTTCACAATCTGCTCAGGACAGAACACTAGAGCCCAGGACAGGATGTGCCCATCACATCTTTTTGCCTCAGACTCCAGCCACGATTTGGTCTCTCTCCCCGGACTACGCACCCTGCACACACACACACACACACACACAGCCCTCACTCATAGCCTCTGTACCTTCTCACACCTGTCACACACTGTGTACACACATGCATGCCAAATTCACATGACACACACACACACAAGTACACACTAACAGGTCCCCATTGTTCCCACTGCTCACACTTGCACGCCCAGGCCTTCATGTGCACACTCAGTGCCCACAGACATCACTCATAAGTACACACAAGCACACTCTCCTGCGTCCCTATGCACAGCCGTGGGCCTGTTCACACAGGGGCACACCCACGCACACACACGCACAGCCGACTTCTGCTGCTTGTGCGCACGCAGGGTCACTGCACCCCTACCTCACCTCGCAGGCTTCTTGTTCAGGCAGGGGAATGAAATGCGGCTCGGACAGAGGTTGGGCTGTAAGGAGCACTGGAGCTGGCTGGGCTTGGGTTCTCCGTGGGGCCCGTGTCGGCGGGGAGACGTCTGGCGAGCCCGCAGGTCACAGAGGCGCGGGCACACCCACGTGGAGACACCCGTCCCTGCTCACCGGCAGGCCCCCACGTGTGCCAGGCCCCCTGCCCCCCTGCCCCTGTCTCTCTCGCGCGCACACACGTACACACACACACGTGTCCATATGCACACACGTGTATACACACAAGCCCAGACTGTGTCCCCGCAAACTACGTTACGGTTCTCCACTTGTGGGGGCCCTGGCTGCTCTGGGGAAGGCATCTCTCTGGCTGCAACAGCTCTTGCAGACACGACAGCCCCTCTGGCCCCAGGAGAACTCAAAATAGCCAGTCCGGGGCCTCGCTGTCTCGGCGGGTGCTCTGCACCCTGCGGGCAAGTCCCAGCTCAGAGAGGTCACCTGCTCCAGCGCCTTGAGGCGGAGCTGGCCTCTGGGGCTGGCTTTGGAGACCAGCTGTCTGCTCAGGGACCCAAATTTAGAATCCTGACAGCCCGAGCGCCCGGGGGGCTGGCTGGGCGGATAGGGCGGGCAGTGACGCTAGATTTCTGTGGTCAGAGCCGCTCATCAGAGCCGGAGCCTGTCTGAGAAGACTGAGGGGGGCCTGGTCCATGGCTGGGTCCCCAAAGCTTGGGAGGTGGCCTGCAAGAGGGAAATTGAGGCACAACAAGGAGAAGAGCTTGCTCAGGACACCCAGGCCCAGCCTGGATCCAGCTGTGAGCTGGCAAGCCTTTCCCTTCACAGCTCAGTTGGGTGGACTTTTCCATTTTTCAATTCTTTGGAGAGTCTGCTATGATCCTTCATCTCCAAGTGAGAAGTGTTTCTGTGTGCTGGCCTCTCCCATCCTGTCTGGGGTGCCATCCTCAACACTAAAGCCTTGAGAGGCTGAGCACATGTCCCCACCTGCCTTCCCAGCAGCCACGTGCTCACCAGTCAGAGAGTCTCAGGCCTGGGAGGGGGCCCTGGGACACTGAGGTCACTAAACCCACCCCCCACCCCACCCCTGTAGCTTCCAGACTCTGCTTGCATACCTTCCATGATGGGGACCTTACTTCCTTTCCATGTAGTCCCTCCATCTAGGGACAGCCACGCCCTGCCCACGGGTGAGAAGTACCTTGGGATGCCGAGGTAAGCCCACAGCGCCCCACCGCCGCCCGCAGCCTCTGTCTGCCCCTCTCAGCCTGGGCAGCCCCGCAGAGCAGCTACTATGGCTGGCCACCAAGTCTGCCTTGCTCCTGGACAAGCAGCCCTGACCCTTGGGCTGAGGACCAGTTTCTAGCGACTCCCCAAATCAGGTTGCCGCCTTTGGATACCCCCAAGCTGTCAGTGATCCTCCACAGTCTGTTGTAGGAAGGTAATCAAAAAGACCTATGCCTTTCCCTCTTCCTGGCATGAGACAGCTCAGGGGAAGACCCCCAGTGGGGCTCTCAGGCCTGCACACCGGGCCCGGGTTCCAGTGGCCCATCCCCGCCCACACCCATCCCCTCGACATTGAGTCACTCTCACCCCCAAGCCTGGAGTGCTGTCTCCCCCCCTCCACGGGCTCCGTGTGGAGGGCCCATGCCCCCGCACCCACTTCACCTTCTTCCTCTGCTCCTTCTGTCTCTCACGGAACTCCTCGAGGCTCCGCAGCTCCTCGCGCAGGGCCAGGGCCAGCTGGATGTGGGAGCTGCCCACATTCTCCATTTCTGGGGGCAGAGCACAGAGGCGTGGAGCCCCAACCACCCCCCCACACCCGTGCCTGGACCAGCCCTGCACCTCCCAGACCCTCCTCCAGCCTCAGAGCCCTGTGTGCAGCCTGAGCAACCCCTCCCCGCCAGAACCTATCTGCTTCCATCTATGGGGACACGGCTATTCCCAGAAGGTCCTGTCACCCTGCAGCCTTGGGTTGGGGGCAGTCAGGACTTACGCTGCTTCAGGGAGTCAAAGGAAGCCCTCAGGGAGCTGCAAAACAGAAAGGCCAGGGTCAGGGGGAGGAGGGCACAGCAGGCCTGGAATTCCCCCCACCCCCACCCCCACCCCAGGGACTTTTCATTTGGTGGGAAGGCTCTAGGTCACTCACACACACTGATCTAGACCCAGACAGTGACCACCCCCTCAGAACCAAGCTGGGATTTCTGGAAGGCAGAGCTCCTCTTTGGAGGTGATAAAGCCATCACACCTCCCGGCAGTGGCAGAGTGCTCCTGGCTTCTGCATGTTTTCAGGGCTCTCCCTCCCTCATTGGGGTCCCTCTCCCACCCAGTCCTCTCCCATCAGGACGAGCTGAAGCAGGAGAGCGCAGGGTTCAGACCTGGCTTTAGGCAAGTGGCCTGGAGGGTGTTTGGAAGAAGCTGGGTGGGAGAGGCAAGCAGGGCAGGGGTACAAGAGGAGAGACAGGTGGGGCCTTAGGGCAGGAAGAATGGGATGTACGGGTAAGGACAGCAAGAGGCTGTCCCTGTCCCTGGCTGGGGCGGCTGGGCAGACAGTGGTGACATTTCCAAGAGAGGACCCAGGAGAGAGTACATGACCCAGGAGGGGGTATACAATAGGGTGCACCGAGCTTGGGGTGCCTGAGAGAACCCCTCAGGAGGAGTCAGGAGGCAGCAGTGTGGCCATTCTGGGGTAGAGATGTGGGTGCCACAGAGAGCAGGAAGGGAAGAGGGGGGCACTGGGGGACGATGCCCAAGGGTGGGGTTGCCAGACAGCAAATAAAAATACAGGGCTCCTAGTTACATTTGAATTTCAGATAAACAACAAATAGTTTTTGAATATAATGTAATATATGGAACATACTTACATCCAAAAAGTATTTGTTGTTTATCTGAAATTTGAACGTAACTGGGCCTCCTACAGCTTATCCAGCAGCCCTACTGTGGGGACTGCCCCCCAGAACCACGGATGGAGCTGGTGCCTGATCAAAGGTGTCAGTCCACCCAGGACCCAGTCCTGTCTCCTGGTAGGTAATGGGGCGCCATGAGGCAAACATCCCCTTGGGTCAGAAACACGAGCAACAGGGGCAAACACCTCTCTCCAGGTCACTGGGTCTCAGGGACAGGGACCTCTCGGTGGGGTGGGTTCCCCATTCCGGTGGAGCAGGAGAGTGACTGGAAATCCCAGCCTGGGGGAGCAACAGGACCTGGGCGGGGGCTCCTGCTCTGCTCTGCTCTGGAGCCGGACAGCCTGTGTGACCTTGGGCAAGGGACTTATGTTCTGTGCCTTGGTTTCCCCTTCTGTAAAATGAGGATAATAACACAAACAGGATGGTTGTGAGGAATAAATTAATTAATATGTCTAAAGCACCTCCGTCAGGACCTGGTTGTTGTTGCGCAACCCTCCCCCGAGTCACATCTGCACATCCCTGTCCTAGGTTGGGGGGGTTCCCCAGGTCCCTGAACCTGACCTGAGCTGTACCTCCAAAGTGCCCCACCTAAGAGCTTACTGGGTGCCCCCTCTTATCAGAAACCCGCCAGGTTTTGCGTTCAGGTGGGGGTGCCCTTGAGGTTCTCTGTGGGGCTCCATAGGTCGGACCCCTTCTCACCTCCCCATAGCCCGAGCGGGCACGTGGGGCAGACAGACTTGTGTTCACCAGCAGCTGTGTGAGGGGAGCCTGGGCCCGTCATGCCCCAGCGAGGGCCCGTGGGTGTCAAGTCTCCAAGTGCACCCAGAGACGGAGCACAGAGGTTGCAGACTGCCCTAGGGCAGTATCTGGGGTAACATTCTCTGCCTGTGTTGGTGGCCCCTTAACCAAGGAGGCGAAATAAGCTGTGGCTCCCTCTGCACCAGGATGCCTGAGGAGGCACAGTCAGTCGAGGCAGAAAGAGAAATTGAGGCCAGAGCGTGGCCGGGCGTGCTGGGATCACACAGAAGCAGCAGGCAGGGACCGGGTCGCTGGCCGCACGCTCCGCCGCCCCCTGCCCGGCCCCGCGCTCCCCTCCGCTCCCCTCCGCTCCCCTCCGCTCCCCTCCGCTCCCCTCCGCCGAGCAGCGCGCCCGCCCCCTGGTGGCCATATGTCCTCTTGACGTCCTCCCGGCACAGCCCTGGGCTCCTGCCCTCCTGCCGTGGTCTCCCCGCAAGCCTTGCAAGGCAGGCTTTCCAGGGGCCTCCCTCTTCTCATTGGACAGTTAGGGAAACTGAGGTCAACCAGGATCAGCAACCTGTTAGGACCCACAGGGATCCAGGCCTAGGAGAGAACTGCGGGGGTCTGGCCCGTGGCCGACCCGGGCCTTAAACTAAGTAGATCTCGAAGAGTGGTCGGAAGACCAGCAGCATGACCACCACCTGCGAGCCTGTTGGAAACACAGATTCCGAGGCTCCGCCCCAGTCCTCCTGAAGCCGGAACTCCAGGGGGCAGCCCAGCACTCTGCGCTTTAACAGGCCTCCGTGGCCTGCTGACGTCCGCTCGAATGTGAGAATGGCTGGCCTAAATTCTTTAATTCTCCATTCTCGCAGCTCTGCTAGGGAGGGTCCCATCGTGATCCCCATTTTACAGATGAGAAAAACAAGCATCAGGGAGGTGAAGAAACTGGTCCGTGGCCACACGGTGGGGGAGACGCAAGGCCAGCCCCCTGCTTCTCACCAGAGGAAGGAGAGGGGGGATTGCCAGGGTGACCCCGCCTGCCCTGGGCATGAGGGGTCAGGACTCTTCTCTGACAGAATTGATGCCTTCCAGTGGCTCTCCCTCCAACCCCTCTGCTTACTCACACACTCATGTCCTGCCTCAGTCTCTCCATTCATGGTGAGAGCTCCTCCAGGCTCAGTGTGACCCCCCTCCTCCACGGCCAGCCTCACCCACACCCCGTCAGGCCCCAAGTCCTTCATGACCACATCCCACCCCAGAGCTCAGGGCCTGCACATCCACCACCTGGTCTTCACCTCTTTTTATATCTCACAGCTCACAAACACCTCAAATGCATAATGTCCAAAACTGGACTCAGCTCCCCCCCACAAACCTCCCTTCTCAGCCCGTTTCCATCTCAGCAAAGAGCACCTGCACCTGGCTGGATGCACCAGAAACCCAGAGTCGTCCTTGTCTCAGCCCTTTCCCTCCCCCTGCACTGCCTTCTCTTTCACCTCCTCAGCCTCCTCTCTGTCTGCCACTCACTGCTACCACCCTAGCCTCAGACCATCAGCTCCGACCCCCCAGCATCAACACTTGATAAATACCAAGGCCTTTCTCAATCCTAAACCCACCCTGCCGCACCCTCCTTGGCCCATGGACTCAGGCCGTCCCTCCCAGCCTGGGGTGTCTGTCAGGAACCACAGCCTCCTGGGACAGCTGGTCCTTCTCCCTACCCCACCTTGGGATGCTGGGTGCCTGAGTCCACAGCACTGCCATGTGACATGCAGTCTCTGTTTCCACCCTGGTCAGTCCTGATGGTGACGAAGCCCATGCTCACCTTGGGCTCCCATTGGCTTGCTGCCCATTGGGGCTGCATGGGTGGCAGTGCTCATTCCACCTGGGGTGGGGTGTGGGGGGCAGGATTGCAGGCTGTGACCACTCCAGGTCCCCCCCGCAACTGCTCACCTCGGGGCTGCAGTCCTTCCTGCCCAGCCACCAGAGCTCCACTCACACAACAGGGCCCAGGACTCCACCTCTCTTTCTTGGCCCCAGACTTTCAAGAAGGCAGCCTTGGGGAGCACCTGGGTGGCTCAGTCGTTAAGCGTCTGCCTTCGGCTCAGGTCATGATCCCGGGGTCCTGGGATCGAGCCCCGCATTGGGCTCCCTGCTCAGCGGGAAGCCTGCTTCTCTCCCTCTCCCCCTCCCCCTGCTTGTGTTCCCTCTCTCGCTCTGTCTTTCTCTGTCAAATAAATAAAATCTTAAAAAAAAAAAAAAAGAAGAAGAAGGCAGCCTTGGTTGTGTGGGGGAAGGGGGGTTTCACTTTTCCTGGAACCAGAGGCAGCCCACTGTACGTTAGCCAAGACTCTCCCCTGGAGAATGGCCTTGAACTCTGATCTTGAGGATTTGCGGAGCATTTGAAGTCTTTCTCTGCTCCATCCGACCCAGAAGAGATGGCGTCTCATAGCTTTTCTCTCTCCCGGTTCCTCCCTCTTGCTGCCAGGACCTGCTCAAGCTTCTCTTCTATTGTGTCTGTGTCACATGGCAAGGACGGGGCCTCGTGCAGGCCTCTACCCTCTGTTATCTGCCACCAGTGTCCTTATGTGTGACTCATCCCATTGCCCTTTCTGCCTTGGCTCTCAGTACGCGCCCTGAAGTGCCCTGCTCAAACACGGTCAAAATTTCGAGTGTAAACACCTCCTTCCATATTCTCCCCACCATGTCACGTCCCTGCTTGAGCCTCGCTACCCCTGCCCTCCTGCTGGCCAGGAGGCTCCAGCCTCCCAGCTGACAGGAGCAGGCTCTTCTTGCCTCAGTGCTGGAGGCTGGAGGCAGGGCCTGATGGCGCTAGTGTCGGAGGGCCCCTGATGGGAATAGGGCCTGCCTGGCTCCCTCTAATGTCCTTAGCATGTCTTCATTCTCTGAGCTCAGAAGAGAGATCATGGAGAAAAAAAAAAATCCCTCTGACAGGAAAACCACAGCATTTTAGGTTGTGACAAGAGCAGGTGAGGTGGGGATTCAAACCCACGTGCCTTGAGGAGGTGTCCTGAATGGTGGTAACCACCTGGGGGCTCACGGGAAGTTGGCCCCAGCCCTGCCAGCCTTGATTTCCTTTCATTTCCAGAACCCTGTGGCACCCCAGCACCCTACCTGGGGCAATGTGAGCAAGACAGGCCTGGGCAGGGGGGAAATAGGAGCAACAACCAGAGCAAAGGCCCGGATGCTGGAAGGGAGAGTCAGGGTGAACTTTCTGCCGAGCTGGATGTGCAGTTTAAACCGTATCAATAAGCCCTTCGCCCACGTGATGAGGTCTTTAAAGTGCATTGAAAGGGCTTGTGGGGCTCCCCTAGTTCAGGGACCAGGTCTCATATGTGCATTCTCCATTCCACAGCCCAGTGGGAGTTTGCTGAGGCAGCATGTGGAGGAGGTGAATGCTGGAAATGATTTGAAGATGGGGGTAACCTCCCTTCAATATATATGGCTGAGCCTCCAGGCTTGAGCGAGGTTTCTGGCTGGTCTGAGGTCAAAGGATCATGCAGAAATGCTACATCTTCAGGCAGCAGAGGCCGGGCAGGCCAGCCCACTCTGCCCTCCTGCTCTCACTGGGCTTCGTCTGAGGTCACTTAACTCCTCAGCTTTGGTCCTCCCCATTTGCTCCTGTCTAGCCTATGCTTGCCCTCAGAGGAGCTAAGAATAAGCATCTCATGCAACCTAGGAGGGGGTTGGCCATGGGGGGGGCTGGGGACGTCACCCCACCAGGCGATGGGCCCTGGAGGATGCGCTGCCAGCCCCACGCTGAATAACCAGGGCATTCCCAGGGGCCAACCCCAACATACCTCCAAGTCTCCATGACAATGAGGAAGTGACCCATGCTTCCATGGCCACCCTTTACTCTTCCCACAGGGAGCCCTCCAGGTTGGAACTGGGACAGGGTGACCTGGTCTAATCCAAGACCCTAACAGTCACACAAGGGTGAGTGTTTGGGAGGACTTCCTGGAGGAGGTGGGGCAGGAGAAGGCCCTAGAGGGAGGGGTTCTGAAGCAAAGGATTGGGGAGGTTCCCCACGGTGTGCTAGAGTCTAGCTTTGGGATGGTGGGCTATTCATTTTGTGTTATTTTTAAATTTTTGAATTCTCCTGACTCAGCCTAGGGCATGGCAGGCTCATCATAGGCGCTCCATAAATGCTGGCTGAATAAATGAACGGATGATTGATGCTTGGCCCACGGTTAAGGAAAGGAATGACTGCATGGTCTCACTAATCTTAGTACATGCCACATGGCTCAACAGCTCCACTTACTGAGTGCCTGGTGTATGCAGTCAGCCAACCTGCACGCTGCATGGGGCATGACCCTAAGGCAGGCAGTAGGTGAACCAGGATGGGTTCGACTCCTGCCCCTCTTGCCCACTGGCTCTGAATTTGCCCTGCCTTTGCCCACCTCCAGCAAGTCCTCCAGGAGGAAGGCATCTCCCCTCCCTCTCCATCTCTCCCAGGAGGCGCCCTCCCCAGGCCACCCTGCTCTGACCACCCCAGCCTGGGTTCTCACCCACCATTCCCTGTCTGCTCTGGCAACATGCGTCTGGGCCATGGGGCCCCTGTGCTGGGTGGGCTGAGCCATGGGGCCTGGCACTCCCGACCTGGGCTCCAGCTCCTCCTTGGTAGGCAGAAAGGCGGACCCTGTCTCTACTCCTTGCTCTCTGGGGCTCTACCCCTGATGCTCCCACCTTGGACGAGGGCTGCCTTCCAGTGACACTGGACTCCGGCTTTCTAGGCCGGGGAGCGGCTGGGCCTTGAAGGAAATGGTCTAGGTTGCCCGGTCAGACTTCTCAGCCCTAAACTAAGTAGGGAGAGCCCAGTTTATCTGACATACACAGGTGCCTATAAGACCGGAAAGAACCCCACTGTTGATTGAGCTTTGCCCTGGCCTGGTGCTCTCTGCTTGACATGGTGATGCCAGAGCACCTCCGGGGGGGCCACTCCCCTCTCACAGCCCAGCCCAGAACTCAGAGGGGCAGTGACCCCCCACGGCCACGCAGTGTAGGAGGCAGGGCAGACCTTGCCCCACTTGGCCTCTTATAGCCGTGTAGGGGATCAGGACCACCCAGAGCATTGCTCCAGCCACTTCCTAGTCCTGCAGTGGGGCAAGATGCTGTGTCCCTCCCCACCTTCCCCACTGCCCACCAGGATCCCCTTCCATTTTGTTCTCTCCATCAGTGGCTTCTCCTTCCCTATTTAAGTGCCCAGTGACTCACAGGCTTCTGAGTGTGAGTGTGCCTCACACAGCTTGCCTCCAGCCCGGGTTCCTGTCATGGCCCAGCCTGGAGCACCCTCTCCC